GGGACATAGAACAAGTCTCAATACATTTAAAAGAACTGGAATTATACAGAGTATGTTCTGTGACCAAAACAATTAAGTTAGAAATCAGTAACTGAAAATATATCTATGCAATTTCAAATATTTGGAAGTTAAATGACACATTCTAAATAACCCATGGATCAAAGAAAAAAACACAAAAGAAATCTTGAAAATGTTTCAAAGAGCATGAAAACATAAAAATGTGTAGGGTGCAGCTAACACAGTGTTTAGAGATGTGATGGTTTCCTGAGACTCTCCCAAAATGCACCTAAATCTCCTCCATTCTTCATTTTTTTTAAAGAATTATGTATTTATTATTTTTTTTAAATGTGCTATAAGGCATATGCACTCTCCAGAAAGAGACAGACAGAAAGCAAGCCACCAAATCTGGGACTCTAACCCAGGTCGGCCATGTGGGAGTACAACACTTTAACCACCACACCATCTCCTGGCCCTCCTCCATTGCTCTTGTCCACAGGACATCACTTAGAAGTATGCTATCAAGTTACAAGTAACATCTTTCATCTTTGCATCACCAAGTTAAAACATGGGCTGCCTTTCTGTCCAGGCAGCCTGCTACATATATTGTGGTTTTAGAACATAGAACAAGAGGATGGTGAAGACTAGAGAGAAACTCGGGCATCCTCTAATTCAATAATCACCAACAATGGCCCATACTTCGTGTTTCTATCAGTATAAGCATCCTGACTTATCTTATTATAACTATTAATGTTTCTTGGGGATCAGCAGATGTCACTAGACTCCCACATAGTCGACGGTGATTTGAGTCCTGGACTTGGTGGTTTAAAACACACACCAGAATGTGTATGTGTGCCCAAAATTCATGAGAATGGAGGAGAAGGAATTGCAGCATGGCCATCCCCCCAGGGAGTGATTTCTTGCTTTCTGTCTCTCTGTCTCTCCAGTGAGCACACATGCCCTATAGCAAAAATCTCTTTTAAAAATTAAATAAATAATGCTTCTTCATTAAAATTTTATAGTTTTGGAGCCAACAGGTGGCATGGTGGGGTAAGGTACTGGACTGCCACATAGTCAACCACTGTTCAAGTCCAGGACCTGGTGGCTTGCTTTTTTACTTTTCCAATCTCTCTCTCTTTCTCTCTGGTGAATACATGTGCCCTATAGCAAACTTAAAATAAAAATAATAAAATTAAATTAATTTTAAAAATAAGTTTCTATGCCAAATGCTAAGCCAGGTGAGTCATTGTACAATTGTTACAAACTAGGGCAGTATTGGACAAATACAGAATAGCTCCTGCTCAGGCCACTGAGAGGAGAAGACTCTTCTATGGTACAGACTCCCTTGTAGCAGGAAAAAAGTTCTGCTGCAGAGAACCATTTCTCACTAAAGGTTTCCTGTTTTGAAGCCAGACTCTTACCAGCAGACATTTCTTGGCCATGAAGCCACAGTCAATCTTGTGGTCACTGAGAAAGTACTATGTTGTGAGGTTGAAAAGAGCTGTTCCCAAGCTTGAGAGAGCACAGGCTGTCTCTTTCAGGATTACCTCAAAGGAGTCACCGTCTCCAGCTGATTGTGCTGGGTGTTTCCAGATCACTGGAGCAGTCAGTCAAGCATTTCCATGATGCCTGGTACACTTAAAGTATGCTGTCCAAGTACACATGTGTGTTGCTATGCAATAAGCCAATTCTGGGACAGGTGTATTATATAATGATGTATAGTCTGAAATTTTCAGCCCAGACTTCAGCCATTCTTCTTTCCAGGATCTACCTGTGAATGAGGTTAAAGTGCTATTTAAGATGATACTCTTCTCTAAAACAAAGTAGATACGTTGTTTATCTAGTATGTTCTGTTCTGTTTTACAACGGGTCTTCAAAAAGCTTATAAAAATGTGTATTGAAAAAAAATATGCATGGATTTCAAATTTTTGTTGCACCCATATAACCTTGTACTTCACTTCCATTTTTTCCTCCAACTTTTTGAAGACCCCTTCTTGTTTTATAAGCATGCACATGGAGGAATTTTGCCACAAGTTTCTTGGTATGATTTTAACTTTTCCAAAGAGATGCTTTGAGATTCTGCGTGCTCGGCCTACAGGATGAATTGCTCCTACAGCCTGGAGTCAGACTCCCCTCTCCCTCCCATTGTGTTGGCCCACCTCAGTCCCCTCTGCTCCTGCCCACAGACCTGCCCACTTCAGTCCCCTCTGCTCATGCCCACAGACCTGCCCACCTCAGTCCCCTCTGCTCATGCCCACAGACCTGCCCACCTCAGTCCCCTCTGCTCATGCCCACAGACCTGCCCACCTCAGTCCCCTCTGCTCATACCCACAGACCTGCCCACCTCAGTTCCCTCTGCTCATGCCCACAGACCTGCATTCTGTTTTTAGTTCTGTAGAGATCCTTGAGCACTATATGTGGAGAATTCCAGTGACCTGGAAAAACAAATGCGGAAGGGTGATCAAGATTATCTTCTCTCTTACCCCTCGGTTATCTTTCTGTCTAGTTGATAAGTTCCTGTTATCTACTTGACATAAAATGACCTTAAAGGACATGCAAGGCAAAAATACTAAGCAAATTTCCTAAACTGAAAGAAATCATATTTGTACAGTTGCCCAGGTGAGAAAACAAGAATATCAAATATCTCGTTTCTGACATCATTATACTTTCAGGAGTCATAGATCTCCAATTCTGTAAATGAGATTAGAATTAAACCAACTCACATTATCAGACGGAATAAATGGAATAT